GCGCTGACTATGGGTCCAGCAAACCATCCAATATCACAGAATATTCCGGGTGTCATACAGAATATTCTTGTTTTTTCATTACTACCTCATAATGAACTTTAAGTGTGCCAATGTATAGATTTTAGCTGCAAGTAATAAGCGAGCTATTAAACAATCTTTGCTCTTGAAACTTATTGAAGATTCTTATATCACTAGATTTACTCATATACTGACAGCCAGTATATCGACATCTAATCCATGGTATGTCTGGGAACTCATTGGGATGTCGTCTCAACTCATGCCGTTTTAACCAATATTTATCTCTAAACATCTGTTGACAGCCATTGAGTCCACACGTGAATAGTCTGTTCATTGAGTGAATCAATCGATTGATTATTAATTGCTTATCAAAAACACCACGAAATACATACCGTCTACTCATCACATGTTTTGTCACTTTTTTCTTAGCATTTGTATCATTCAATTGCAGATCACTTCCTCGCGAGTCGTGTCTAACAATTTTCTCTTCATTTTCATCACTCAATTCGTGTCCAACGCTTGTGGTAATCAACTGATCCACGCATTCATCACTCGTTTGATATCCGATTGAAACAAACTTTTGATTGAAACCTAATTTTTGGTTTAAAATTAATTTTATTTGAAATTAAGGTTTTTTACTACAAATGACTTACTGTTTGACAATTTATTGTCTTTTAAATCATTATCAATGAAAACAAAACAACTTTTGGTTTCATTCAAAGCATGGATTTGTTGAATGAAATCGTATTCACTGTTTGTATCATTAGTTTCGCTAATTTGTGTCAAAAATTGTAAATATTTTTGGCATTTATTTGAAAGTAATTTATATTTAATTAAATCTGTTTTCAAACAATCATTTTCTCGTTTCAATGCATTTATCAATGAATACAACTGCTGTCGACGTAACCGCCGATAATCACCACAAATTGGTCCCATAATCAGCACTAATTTAATTACAATTACAGTAAATCACAAAACGCTTAAAACCTGTGGGAAATAGACAAATATCACGTGTTTTCCACGTATTGGTTCATAAATACTGCATAAAACATATAAAAAAAGTTTGAAACTTTCTCTCTAATTACAAATTAACTGTTTTATTATTTATTAAACTTGTATTTTGTGATACAATTGTTATGTTTTCACATACTTATTACATAAATAGGTGATTAGTTTGTGATCTAAATGACAGTGTATTTAGCGGTTATATTCATCAATCAAATCTATTGGTTACTAATTAAAAACTTATAGTTAAATGTTTTTCCGAAGTTAGACTAATAACTTATAATAAATTGTTTTGTATTAAAATATTGACAAATAAAATACGAATAAATATGAGTGAAAATTACTGATTAACGTAATACAGTACAGTATAGTGAATATGATTTATACGGTAATAAAGTATACTGTAAATATAATATAGCGAAAAAATTGTTGACAATTATCCGGGACATTAAATCCATTGGTTTACAAATTGTCAACATATCGGTAAACTTCGCGTTCAGTTTGTGTGGATGAGTCGGTCGTGTGCTTGATGTTTGAGTTATCATTGTTTTCAATGATATTGTCGTCAATTGGGTCCACACTTACTTCCGCTGCAAACAAAACACACATAAAAATCATTATTAAATAAATAAATTTCTTAAGCATTGAATTACCACTAGTTATGGGATCAAACTCATGATCCATATCGCAGTCCATTTCGCTATCATTTGGTTCATTGGTCTCATTTGGGTCAACACTTCCACCAATTGTCTCAACACTGGATTCATAGCTATTATGGCACTCAATGTCTTGTAATATAAAACAGATTATAAATTCAATGACAATATAAATACAGAAAACTATTTCAAATTAACGTCACATATATACCATAATAGGGCACTAATATTACCTGTATTATCAGCACCGGTCGATTGGGATTGGATGTCAGCCGTGTGTGTATTCATATGCATGTCGAGCGCCCATTGACTAAAAACCCATTTCTTGCAGCCTTTCCATTGGCACCGGATTTTCACTCGATATCCGTGATTATTGATATGAGTAGTCATATCACCCTTGAGTTTACACCTAAACTGACAGCCCGTACGCTTGCATTCAATCCATGGTTTGTCCGGAAAGGCGTCGGGATGTCGTCTGAACTGATGTTTAGTCAACGCATCCTTATTATCGTACTTTTGGTGACAATCATTGAGTCCACACTTGAATGGTCTGTCCATTGAGTGAATCAATCGATTGATTATTAATTGGTTATCAAAAACACCACGAAATACATACCGTCTACTCGTACCACCATTTGTCACATTTTTCTTAACATTTGCGTCATTCAATTGTTGACCACTTCCTCGCGAATCGTGTCTATCAATCGGGTGTTCATTTTGATCACTCAAATGTTGGCCAACCCTTGCGGTCATCAAGTGATCCAACCATTGAATACTTGTTTGACAGCCGATTGACTCAACCCTCGGACTGACTCCTAATTATCGTTTAAAACAATAGTATTTTAATTGAGTTTTTAATTATATTTTCTAATCAAATGACTTACTGTTTGGCAAAGCTTTGAAACTTTCAATTTCTCGCTTCAATGCATTCACTAATGAATACAAGTCTTCGCCACTCAAATGAGACACATCTCCAGACGTTTCACTCATTTTGAGCACTAATTGTGTGTTAAATGCAATTAAACGACAATTTATTCACACAATAGTTGTCGTTATAACTTATAATTTGAATATTAAAAGTTGATGTCATTTTCATATAAAACGTCTACAATTAGAAAAAGTTTACAAACTTTCAAATTGTTATTCATTATTTATACAAGCAATTTGTAAATACAATTGTTTTCATGTTTTATTTAAGTCATAAATCAGCGATTAGTTTGTCATCTGAATTACAGTCTGTTTTGCGGTTATATTCGTATGAATTCCTATCAATCGACTCATTATTATTACAATTAGCGTTCAATTCAATGACTTTCCCATCAATTAACTCGTGTTTCACATTCACTGCAAACAAAAAACAATAAAATCATTAAAACTATTAATTAACATAATAATATTTATTAAATCCTATATTACCGGTAGTTTTGTTATCAAATCGCAATCCATAGGCATATCATTTGAATCACTTATCTCTGCATTCATTTCATTCAAATTCTCATTATTTTCGACGCCTTCAACACAATTGTCTTCACAGTAGTCATCCTTTGAGTCAACACTTCCACCAATTGTCTCAACACTGGATTCATAGCTATTATGGCATTCATTGTCTGCAATATAAAACAGATTTTAAATACAATTAATTAAACACAAAACTTATTTGAAATTAAAATAATCTAAATTACCGGTAATACTAGCGCCGGTCGATTTGGACGGGGAGTTAGTCGTGTGTGTATTCATGTGCACATCCAATGCCTTTTGATTCATAAACCATTTCCCACATCGACTCTGAGGGCATTCCCGGATATCCAATAGCTTTCCGTGACTTTTCGCGTGACTACTCATATCAGGCCTAAGTTTGCACCGAAACTGACAGTCCTTACGCTGGCACTCAATCCATGGTATGTCGGGAATGGCGTCTGTACTGGTGTTTAGTGAACGCGACTATCGTTACAAATGTTTGGTTGCATTCATCGACTGAACACTTGAATTGGCGTTTATTGGATCCGATCTTTTGGTGTCTTATCGATGGTTTGTCCGAAACACCACAATTCACTCCCATTTGCTGAAGACTTCTTGTTTGAATGAATCGATAGATGTCTCACAAAATTATATCTATATTTAGTGGTGAAACCACATCCATGTTGATGGCACCGGTACTGAACTCCCTGTGCCATTGAACTAACAATATCTCCAACTCTTTGATTATCACTTAAACCATTCAAACAATCAGTGGTTTCTGTACTGTCTTTGATTGTGTTGTCAATTGTCTTGAGTTCGCTTTGAATAGCGTTTTCATTCATAACGGCTGTACTTTCATCACATACCTGTCCACTGTCTCCAATCATCTGTGGTTTACAAGTCTTTGTGTGTTCATTCAAACTGCGCTTAAATTTACTCTTAAACTGACAGCCGGTGTGTCGACATTCATATGCCATACGAAAGTTTGAATGTAATATCTTGTGGTTCTTTGAACTAACCCTACATTTAGTCTTAAACGGACAGCCAGTATGTGGACATTCAATCCATGGTATGTCTGGGAACTCATTGGGATGTCGTCTCAACTGATGTCTATTGAACGAGTCCTTTGATCTTTGAACGACTCTTATAATCACATCCCTGTCCACCCCTCCTAATGTCCCTTTTCTTTCAAGATTTCTCGTGTTGAATCAAATTGCCCTTAAATTTAGTCTTAAACTGACAGCCCGTTTGTCGGCATTCATAAGAGTTTATGATAAGAAGATGTGTTTTCTTGTGGGCAGTCATAGAAAATCTGCATTTCGTCCGATACTGACAGCCAGTATATGGGCACTCACTCCATGGTATGTCCGGGAAGTCATTGGGATGTCGTATCAACTGATGCCGAGTTAAGGCATCATTTTTGTTGAACTTTCGGTGATCGCAGCCGTCGAGTGAACATTCGTATAGTCTGTCCATTGAGTGAATCAATCGATTGATTATTAATTGCTTATCAAAAAACACCACGAAATACATCATCGCATCATTTGTCGCACTTTTCTTAACTTTTTTGGCGCTCAACTGATGATCACTTCCTCGTGTGTCTTGTCTTTCACTGCGGCCTTCATTTCCATCACTCACTTCGTGTCCAACTCTTGCGATCAATTGATCCACACATTCATTGATCGTTTGATTACCGTTTGAGACAAACTTTTCATTGAAATCTAATTTTGATTGAAAATAAGGTTTTGAGTAAAATTTAAACTAACATTAAATTTATATTCAAAATGACTTACTGTTTGATAAATTACTAACTTGTTTATCATTACCAACGAATACAAAACAACTTTTGGTTTCATTTAAATCATTGATTTGTTTTATGAATTTGTTTTTACCGTTTGTGTCAATCGGTTCGTTAATTTGTGTCAAAAATTGCAAATATTTTTGGCATTCATTTGAAAGTAATTTATATTTCAATAAATCTGTTTTCAAGCAATTATTTTCTCGTTTCAATGCGTTTATCAATGAATACAACTGCGGTCGACGTAACCGCCGATAATCACCACAAATTGGTCCCATGTTTGAGCACTAAATTAATTGCAATTAAACCACAATTTTAAACATGTTTTGTAGACAAATG